GTTCCTTCGGCCTTAGACCCCCAAACCCCGGGGCGTGAAAAACCTTGTATGGCCGATCAGGTAGTTTTTCGCCCCCTTAAGGCTTTTGTCCCTTCTGCCCTAGACCCCGAAACCCTGAGAATCTAAACAGGGCGCGAAAAAAGACCCCCAGCGCGAAAGTGAGCATGAGGAGCCTTTTTGGGAGTGAAAAAAGCCGCCCCTGTCCAAGGGCTTGGGGTAGCCGACATGCTCAATGTCAACATCTCAACTGCTGGCCCGAAAGGAACACTGCAGCCTCCAAGAACGCTTGCTCCAAGCATCTGAAGCTCCAGTCACAGAGGGGCCATCAATGCTCGCTGCTAGGAAACTTCGATTTAAAGAGGCGGATCATTTAGGGTTTAGGGTAAAGGGTAAAGGAAAAACAGCCCCGAAACCAACCCCTGGAAGCACAGGAAAGCTTTGAACTCTGCGGCCAAGACTCTGAAGGAGGCCAGTGCGCAGCCCCACGGGTTTGGTGTCACGGGTCTTCAAACTCGTAGATTCATGATGGCTTGGGGGTGCTTTTCTGGGAATTTGGGGTTTGTGGAGAGAGGATGTTGGGCTCTTGCCTTTCCTTGCTCTGAGCAATTGTTGTCTCTCACGGGACTCTGGTGGTTTCTTGCGAAAGGTCATCCCTTGAAAGCAGACGGAAGCCGACCTTTGCTCGCCGTTCGATCTCTTGAACCCTCGATCATTGAATGTGGGGATGCATCTGTATGCAGTAATCTTATAAAATTAGAGTCACAATCAGAATCTCCTTGAATTAGGGTCTAGGCATCTAAAGGCTGAGCTTTAATTTCAAGCTGCCAGTGCTGCAAAACATGAACAACGCATTAATGCCTTTACATGGGCCCCTGAGCAGTAAGCCTCATCTTATTCCGCAGATAGTGACAGGAGCTGCTCGGATTCATTCGCGACCAGTGCTCCGTGGAGGCCGCAAGCGTTTAGAGTTGCGTGGTTTAGGCTTCGGAGTTCGTGTACTTGCATGTGCACTTACACCACGCGATGCCAAGCATATATCTATGCGTGTTGGTGTAAACATTACATCTCTATATATACACATGTATGTTATGTTATGTTATGTTATGTTATGTTATGTTATGTTATGCTATGCTATGCTATGCTATGCTATGCTATGCTATGCTATGCTATGTTATGTTATGTTATGGTCTGGTCTGGTCTGGTCTGGTCTGGTCTGGTATGGTATGGTATGGTATGGTAGTGTATGGTATGGCAATGTATGGTATGGTAATGTATGGTAATGTATGGTAATGTATGGTAATGTATGGTAATGTATGGTAATGTATGGTAATGTATGGTGATGTATGGTAATGTATGGTAATGGATGGTAATGGATGGTAATGGATGGTAATGTATGGTAATGATTGGTAATGATTGGTAATGTATGGTACTGTATGGTACTGTATGGTAACGTATGGCAATGCAATGCCATGTAATGTAATGTAACGTAACGTAACGTATGTATGTATGTATGTATGTATGTACGTACTGTTATACCGCTTGTGCTGCTTCAACTTAAGGTTAGCTTCAAGAACCAGGGCGTGCTTTTCCTGTGTATGCCTGGTACAACTGCGGCCGAGTATGATCTGAAACCTTAGATCTTCTTACGATTTATGGCCTTGGGTGCGGTGCAATTTCGGAGTTGGGCTCTGAGATAGACCCAGGGTTTGAGGTTTACAGGTAGGTTTGAGGTACCAGGTCGATGCTTAGAGCACGATGGCTCGGTGGTGCTTACACTGTTGCGTTTTAGGGTTTGTGCCCTGTTGGCTTGGGACATGGCCAGTGTGAGAGCAGAACGACGCCCCCCCCCGAGCCGCAAAGCCGAAACTCGCAGCGATAAACACCGGAGGCCGAATTTGGCGCCATCCATTAGGTGTCAAGTTTTGCATCCCCCAAGGCTTACTTAAGATAAATGGCGTCGAACTCCTCGTTGCATTTTTTCTTTCGACGTTCAGGGTCCTGGGCCTCTGCCATTCCTCCCAGAAGACATCTGCCTCGGACCAAAGGTCAGTTCGTCTCCTATACACAAACAACAGCTCGGGATTTCACATGCGACGCTGTCACTCGTTGCCATACACCGTGAGAAAAAATGTAAGAGAGAGACAGGCAGAAGAAGACGCAGAGAGCAAAACAGGAAGGACGGACTCGGACGGGAGGGAGGAGATAGGCAGGTAGGCGGATGGGTGGGTCAAAGGACACCACTGGACCGGATCTGCTTGGTGTGCCTTGTCACGCAAAAACTCCTGTCGACTTGGTCTTGGGTCGCTCCGGGTTGTGCACTGATAGGCATTGAGCCGGGGGATTTGAGATTTCAAGGTTTGGATGAACTTTGTGTTGCAATAACAAGTCGGAGCCCCGGTGCCGACCTGAACACTTGCGGCCCACGCACTTGATTATTGTGAAGGAAGGACACCAGGGGCAAGGCTGCAAGTGGAAAGGCCCGAAGCTGCGGAGCCTGAAAGCAAAAGACGAGAGTGGAGTCGGCGGATCCGAGGCCGTGCTGAAAGCTCACTTCTCGCAGGAACAGTGCTGCGTGACCATGTTGCAGGCAGGCAGCTTTGCATCTGGGCCTGGGGTTGGTTTGGAAGTTTATTGTCATCAGGCTGAGATCATGAAGCTGTCGAACCTCCTGAAGGAGTACAGCAGCAAGTTGCGGATCAAGGCGCCCAATGAAGCGTGGGCTCTCGCCTTCAGCTGCCTCAGGGTCTGACTGCCACTCCCAGGAGCATGATGAGCTGGATGCATGCTCCCAGAAGACTCCTGACTGGGAGAAGGAGGTGATCATGACTCTTGGCAGAAGTGTCGGGCTGTGTCCCGTGTAGCTTGGTGTTACCGTTTGCCTGGTGGTTGCGGAGCACGGGATCGCAAATCTGTCTGACAGACGCCGCTGCAATCAGTTTGATTGCCTTTGAAAGCAACAGACGTACAACTGTCAGGATCACGGAGCGCTACGATGTGCCCCTCAACTTCCGCCTCAACTGCAGATTCATGATCGATGAGAAGGTCGGGCAATCACAGAGGGCAGTATTTGGCGCCAGGCTTTGAACCCATGAAGCCAGTGAGAGGTTGGCGGTGCTGTAGTACGAGGTCCAAAATTTTCAGCCTCACCGTCTTTCGACTACGGCAATGGGCTTTGATGCATTTTAGTCGAATCTTAATTGTGTTAAATTATGAAGAGAGACATGTTGTATTGATTAGAACCCAGAGAATAAAGTGAAACAGCCGCATGAATCTCCGGAACCTAATTTACGGTGTGGAGCTCTCAGTTGGAATCATCTGTCCCACCGATGCGCGCCGGAGGACATTGCCTTGTGCCATCAGTCCCAGTGCCCGCTTCCGACGTCAGTGTGCAGTTCGCAGACGTCCCAGGAGCTGGCAGCCTGGATCCGAAAGGGAATTCCGCTTCAGGTTTCGGTTGCTTCGGAGACGGTGATCCGGGCATGGAGAACTCATTTGATTCGCAAGTCCCACAGCAGCACATCGTCCTAGACGATGTAACAAAACAGAGAAAGCTGCCAGGTAAACATCGACGAGGACGCCATCGTCTCTGAGCAAGGCCCGCCACTCTACCTTGGGCTTGGGGACGCCTCAGGAGTCTAAACCCCTACACCACCCAAACTGAGAGTCTTGAACAAACCGAAATCCCCCCAAGCTACAGCTCCGGGTGCAGGTGCCTTCTTCGAGACCCTCTTCCGCCGGCTGCCCCCGGTGCAAAGCAAAAGTTTCCAGCAGCTGCAGCTCGGATGCTCCAGGGACCGGTGCTCACAGAGGGTTTCACAGTTCAGACGACCGAGGCAGGTCGCGCTTGTCACAACTATAGGTTGCATCCTCCATCGCCATCATCACCGTCAATGTCGTTGTTTTCGTAGGTCGTCCCATTTCTCTCTTGTTTTCGTTGCTACTGAAGGTCGTCGCTGTTCTCGTTGTATTGTATATTTGTCGGCATTCGTCGTGGAGGTCATCGCTGTTGTCGTTGCGGTCCTGATCGCTGGTTTGCCACTGCTCTCGCTACTATACGTGCATGAAAAAGGGTGCTCCAGGTCATCCATAAGCACTGCATCGAAGCACCGCTTCATACGAGACAAGCTGTGGATTCTGACAATTCATACGGGCAACTGGCAAGCCAGAGAGCAACCACAATGAATCTCACTGCTAATGCAGACATGTTTGCCAATTGCAGGCAAAGGACAACAACCAAAGGCACACACTAACTACTTGTACGAGGAGCAATTTCATCAGGAAAGCTTGAGAGTGTTTCTGCAGCTCTCCACCGAGGAGCCAAAGCCATAAGCATATTCTCTCATCGCGCTCTCTCCTCTACCTTCCAGACTCCCTTCCTGGGAGAGTGAACCAGCAAGCTCAAGCCAAGGCGAGAGGAATGCATCACTCTTCGGCAGCAGCTGTCGAGTACGGAGGGCAATCTGCAACCTTGGCTTTCTTAAGTGCATGGCTTCGCTGTGAGCTGCTCCACAAGAACACCTTGCCACGAGAATTTCAGTCCATCAGCGACAGCAGCGAAAGCTAGACTCCAAGAATCAACCGTTAAACCCCATGCCCACATTGATCTCCTCCTCACCTTCTTTCTGCACAAGCTGAAAGCCTATACCCGCTACCCCCCCAAAACAGGAAACTAATGAAACTTTGAGGCAGCTGGTCAACGACCTAGACAAAGCGTTGGGCCCTCAGAGAGAGGGCTTCACTGTTCCGGGTGTTTCTGTTTCCTTCCCTGATTGGCTCTGGGATTTGCTGGTTCTGGCAGCATGGCGACTGCATGTTTAGGACACTCTGGGAGGTCATGAAAAAATCTTCAAGCTTGTCAAACAACTCCAACGCTGCATTAATCTGTGCTCAGGGCCGGTCCTGTAATTTCTTGTTTTGAACAGTCTTCAAAGCAGCCCACTCAAGAGCCCCAGCTACAGAAGCATGTCAAAAGGTCCAATTCAAAAGAGTCCTGAAGCTAGAGCGGAGAAGACGAGCCTCAAACTTGCATTGAACCTCAAGGGTGCAGCAGATCACCGAACTCATCGACGTGAGCGCGGAGCCGAAAGAGCTCCTGGACACCCTCGCTGAGCGGGTGCTCTGGGAGGGCCTACGGTACGACGTCTTCTGGGCGAGAGTTTCGTCGGGACTTGAGGGTTCTTCGGCGCGTCATGGGATTCGGCTGCTGCCGGTTGATTGAGGCTTTGGGTATATGGGGCCGGCCTAGGATTCAACAATGAGTGGATGGAAGCCTCGGAGTTGGGGCACCTGGGCATTTTGGGAGAAGGTTCTGCGGTTCAGGGGCCGATGGAGGCGAAAGATGTTTGGGGTTTAGGGTTAGGGTAAACTGGCAACTGTTGCTGTGGAGGGGCCAGCGTTTCAGAAGCCTCATGTCTGAACTCCTCAGATCCATGGAGACTGCATGGCATGATCGGTTTCTAGCGCCAGAGTTCTTGTGAATCATGGAGTTCATGGTTCAGGATCTCTCTTAAATCTGTATGCAAAACCCTGTTGCAGTCGGTGGTTGAAACGGTTGGTGAAGTCTCAGAAATCTGAATAGTCCAACTCAAAGGCACCAGCGACTCGATCTGCGATAACCTGTAAATCATGTAGCAAGAAGGCTATTGATGTTGAATAATTGCATTGCTTCCATGTTGTAGCATTGTAGTATCCTGACATCAGGCCAGTAGCTACGCGACGAAAGCAGAGTAACGATGACGACGACAAACACAACGACTGTTGCGAACACCTGTAGTTGCACAAGAACAACATTTACCAACAGGTCCAAGTACAACCCCCGCATACCTCACGGAAGATCCCGTGAAAATCGGACTGCGTCGATTGCGTCGTCGTCCGATCCTCTGCTGCCGATCCTTCGCATCGCAGCAGTCGCAGGTGCGCTCCCGCCAACGCCGCTTCCGATATCTCGAGGTGGTCGAGAGGTGCTGCTCGGGAGGGGGTCCGGAACCGCAGAGCCCAGACCCGGAAGCCAAAGCCTTGAGTGTGAGGTGTTCATGTGTGTGCTTGCATACCTGGTATGCGTGCACGGGTCCTCAACTGCTGAAATGGCAACTAAGATCTGGTCCGAGCCACCAAAGCGATTTTACCCACAAGACTTGGTAGCGTGCGCAAACCTTCCATGTATGCAAATTGCGAGCCCGTGCAATCTCTTGTATGTAGCTGCCCGAGCCTCACAGGAACGTCAAGGCTGCCATCGTAGCGAAGTGGCAGTACAAGGAGGCCCGAGCTTGGGGCCTGGGATGGATGGAGTTCCGGGGTTCGGAGGCTTGCAGTGTCTCGTAGAGCTCTCCTTCAACTGCACGGTGGGGGAACTCGTTGTTGTCTCACAGCCCCGGCTTCGTCACGCAGAAGTCATGACCTTGCGGCTATTTTTCAGGAGAACTTCAGACCCGAAGGATCCAGAACCTTCACGGCCACCAGCGCTGAAACCCGACAAAGCAGGGGGCAGGGGGTTTCTTATGCTCCCTCTGAACAGGAGCTCAAGAAGGCAGCCGTTGAGCTCAAGGGCGCTTTGGGCCCGGGGCTCAGGATCCAACTCCTTGGGGATATTCGGAGTTTTGGAAAGCTCGAGCTTGAAAGCAGAGGCTCAGGGAATGCCGTAGGGTTCAACCATGTTCAACCCTACGCTTGTGCTCGGCCCTGTCACCTGCTACCAGTATCAGATGATGTCTCAATCATCATCGACCCTGGACTCCACTTGCCCCGCAGATTTCTCACTGACGAAGAAGCTTCCCCGCACCCTGCAGCAGGCGGGTTGCTCCAGCTGTGCCTGAGTAGACGACAGCATTTTACACGGAATGCCAGACCTGGTGCCTGCCTCTCCTCGTTGCTTTTGACTTGCTGCGCAGGCGTGCGCCAGCAACAATGTGACTTTGTCGGATTCAGAGCCGAAGCCCGTTGAACCTTCATCCCAGCATAGACAAGTCTTCCGCAGAGCCACAACCGCTGCGTTTCCAAGCTGCGTGGGGTGACTTCTTGGTTCAGGATCACGGTTTTGGATGCAAAGGTCTGCACGGTCTGCGAAGTGACGGTGGACATCACCTGGGGTTCCGTCATTACAGAGCTGCATGGGCTTAGCTTCGGTCTTCCCTCCCTCACTCCCTGCCCACGTCCTTTGAGAAGCGTGTGCCATCTAGGCGGCTTAGGGCTTCGACCTGCTTCCAGCCTCTGACTCTGTATCCCGCATACCAGTTTTGAGCCAAAACAACAGATCCGCATCAGGAACATCCACAACGTCCACAACGGAAAACACGTGCATACAAAAAGCCACAGGCCCCACTGATCTCCAGGTGATGTCCTTCTTCCAAGCCCTGGCAAAACGCCTTGAGGCCTGAAATTCTGTAGAGCCTCAAGTAAGTGCTTCGGGGTTCAACCGCTACATTACGTCGGGAGGACAGGTAAAGGTCCAGGGTTCATGTTTAAGGATTTGGGACCCTAGCCAGGAACTTAGGCTCTAAAGCACAGTGCGCCTAAACCCTGCTGCTTTAGCTCAAGCCAAAGGGTGTAGGGTTGCGGGACGGACACCGGGTTCTGGACGGTTGGACTAGTACGAACAACTCCACGCGGATTTTGGGCTGGAAATGCAGATTCAGTCTGCTCTTTCTGAAGTCGGCAGAAGGCAGGGATGACATGGAACCAGCCTTTCCTTCTCCTCTTTGTTGGGGAGGGCTTTAATCATGGCCCAGGGCTTGAATGCTATGCTCGTCGAGACCTAGGATCGGATGCCAAAACTGAATGCGAAATCCGAAATGCTCACCCAAGTTTACCATGAATCCAAATTCTGCGCAGGCTGCACCACCGATCGTCGACCTGAAGTTCTGGGCGGATGAATCCGAAAAAGTTCTCACAAGCAGTATTCCGTCAAATACAAATAGCTACAACCCCTGCTCCAAGACCCACCTCTAAGCTAGCTGGCTTTGAACTTATACACGAGAATCCCAAGCGCAGATGCATGGCCTTGCGCTTTACACCTTAAACGTCTTGGGAGTGTAGACAGGAGAATCGTAGTAGTTGTAGTGCTAGTGGTGGTAGTGGTAGTGGTAGTGGTAGTGGTAGTGGTGGCCTTGATAGTGGCAGTGGTAGTGGTACCAAGTGGTGGCAGTGCTGTGTTATTGGTAGTGGTAGGGGCAGGAGGTGGTGGTAGTGGCAATGGTAGTGGTAGTGGTGGTGATGGTGGTGGTAGAGGTGCTCGTGGTAATGGTGGTGGTGGTGGTGGTGCTAGTAGTGGTCGTGATCGCGGTGGTGGCGGTAATAACAAAACTTGATTTAGAAATCCAATAGATTTCTCTATAATGATATTTCTTATTGATTCTTATTTTTTTTATTTTTCTTAAATTTTTGAAATATTAGATATAAAAAAGACATATATAAGATACCGTAAAAGATAGGCAAACTATTTTCAATATTATGGTTTCGTTTTAATAAATTTCATGTTTTCGAAGGTTGTGGAATAGGCACTAGATAGATGAAAAATATAATTTATTTTTGAAAATAGTTCGAAATATTTGGATGATATATTTTTTCTATGATTTGATTTCTCTATATATTAAAATGAATGAAAATTTTTATTTGAGAAAAGGTTTCTGATTAATTATTTGAATAAATATTTTTATATTTAAGATATTATATTTGAAATTTTTGATATGGATTTTTTTCTCTATGTTATATTTTATTAAGATGATAGGAATATATTTAAGATAAATTTATTTGGATGGAATTTCAAAATTAAATAATTCTTTTTATTAAAATTTTTTCTTCTCTTCGATGGTGCGTAGATTATAGAATTTTAGAAATTATGATGATTTATTTAATATTAGATTGAAAAATTATTGAATTTGATTACGATAGATATTGTAAATACTAAAGAAATAAAAAGATATCGAAATCTCTTATTTTATTTTTTATTTCACTGATTATTAAAATTATGAAGGAAACGAAAAGAAGGACCGCTTAAACACGAATTAAGATTTAAAATTAAATACGTCTTATACGGTTATTTAAGAAAGGCTGTCACTTAAAAAATTTATGATAAGGTCATAGAATTATGCAAAAAAGATGTTTATATAAATCTAATTTCGGATATAATTTGCGCGCAAAGTCATTTAATTATTTGAAAATTTGTTGTTCTCGAGATCTCTTATGATTCTTCTAGAAATGATTTGATAACGATTAATCTTTCAAACGTCATTACTATTACTACTATGGCTACTATACAAGATTAACTCATTACATATTCATAATAATCTATATGATATGATTTTATTTTTACATATTTTGGCGCGAAAACGCGCAATTTCGGCGTGAAATTAATATAAGAATATTTCGGAGAATATCCATGAAATTTTAATCTATTCTATATCAATAAATAATAAGATAAATTAATTTCAAATTTATTTTAGATATCCAAAATTATTATATATATATATTAGACCGGACCCGCCACTTCCAACAATAGAATAAAAAAAGCTACAAGTCATTTTGCCGTTGCCATAATTATCTATAATATTTTTAGATAGATATACAGATAATCTCGCATCGAGATCAAAATCACAGACAAACAGACAGATGGTTCAACAGATAGAGACTGACAGATAATTAGAATCAGACACAGATACACACAGACAGACAGACACGTCTTCAACATATACAAGCCCATACAGGCTACGAGAGAAATAGATATAAATATATATAGAAATAATTTTTCCTATCTTCATATAGATAGATAGACAGACAGATAGGCAGGCAGGCAGGCAGGCAGACAGGCATACAGACAAGCAGACAGACAGACAGGTAAGGACAGGCAAATACAAAGGACAGGTAACGATAGGCAGGTAAGTAAAGACAAGCGGACAGGCAGACAAGATTGAGGGCGAGGACAAATAAGACCAGGGACAAATAGATATAGGGACATATAGGGGCAAGCAGGGAAGGAGGCAGCGGTTAGGAGCGAACAGATAAATAAGCTAATCACAACAAATAGATAGGAACAATTAGATAAAAATAAATAAGGATCAGACTAATAAATAGAGGTAACTAAAAAAATAAGCAGGCAAGGCGAAGAAGACAAGCAAACAAATAAATGATAGAGTAATTAATCAGATAATTAGGTAGTTAGACAGACAATCAAATAAATAGATATCCAGAATTCCAGACGAATAATTAGATAAATAAATAAATCTACAAGCAAGCAAATGAATACCCAGCCCAAATAAGCACCCAACCTTCCAATCAGACAGATAAAGAAAAAAGAAATAGAGATAAATAAGAGATAGAGAGGTTTATAAATAGACAGAAATAAATAGATAAATACAAAGTATTAGACGTAGACAGAGACAGACAAACAAGTAGAAATAAACAAATAATACAGATAATCAGACAGATCCCTCAGAGAGACAAGCGCGCAGACAGACAGATACCCAGACAGATATACAAATAGGCAAATAGTTCCACAGACAGACAGACAAATATACAGACAGACGAATAGACAGACAACCACACAAACGGACAGACAGACAGACAAATAGACAGAAACAGACACACAGAGAATCGGACGTATTTTGATAATCGTGCCTACAACGATGAAATCGGAGCTGGTAAACTACGACATAACAGAATATATCTATTAAATCCAATAAAACAAAAGTTAGCCATACTTTTTGATCTCGTAATCTAAATACCTCCTATTTGCCAAAAATAAACGCGAAGACAGACGTCTAGCTACATAAGAGAGGCCTCTATATTCAGATAAGTCGGCACCAAAATTCGTGTTACCAAGATCCTAATCCTATTAAAATCGCGTGCGTAGCCGTCTCGTAACACTCCTTACAAGCCTCTTATGTGCTTGTCGAACGGCCCTAACATCGAATATATTTCGCCTTTAAAATTCTTATTTTAGAATATATTCTCGATACCAAAATTTCGGAAATTCTATTACCACGACTTTATCTTCCAAAATTCGGTAATTTTATAATCACGAACATACCTATCGAAAATTTAAAAATGCTCCCAATACTAAAATTTTCCAAATTTTACTACCACGAAACGAACATATAAGAGGTTTTCAAAAAGAAACATCTTAAAAAATAAAATTATAAAGATCAAAGAGCGCGCGCAAAAAAAAGACGACCAAGACGAAATCATTTTATTAGAGAGATATATATACATATATATAATACAAATAATAGATAATATAATATCAACCTCAAGTTCTACTATATATATATATTTTTTTATTTATACGAAAATATCCATATCTTATCGAGAATAATATTTTTAAGATTCTATTTCTACTATATTTTTCTTTCTATTCAAAACCTTTATAAAAAATATTCAAAATCCATAATCTAATATAAAATTCAGAAATTCTCTTTATTTCAATTTTTTCATAAAAAAAAATTTACTTTCTCCAAGATTTATCATGCCCCACGATATTCTCTTTCTAAATCCCTCGACCCTCGCCCGCCATTCCACGACACCCTAAATCCCCACGACATGCAAGCCCTCGCCCACCACTCCGCGCGACACTCCCTCCGACCCACTCTCGCCGCCGCTCCACGCCCACGACGCACACTCGCAGTGTCTTATAGAGTAAATAAAAGACAGATTCTTCGGTATTCTAAATCTAAGCTAACTCATCGCGATTCGCAAGATGGAAGATTTCTCTTTAGCCAAAATCGTAGGAAGAACTCAGAGTATAGATACTAGACGCAGCCAAAAATGTATGAATCAATGTCGATAGGTAGCGAATATTTAATCATTTTCTCCCGCCAACTGCGAAAGTTGGTAATTTTATGCTCCTCCTGCCTTCAAGATATTCCTGAAGGCTTGCAAGGGATGAATTCTCCCGGCTGCGTCCTCTTGGTTGCATGTGGGCGCAGTCGAGGTTCTCAAACATGTGGAAAAGCTGCAAGGAACTTGCGGTGCTTCACGCATCTTCACGCGCTTATCCATCGTACTCGCCCTCCTCCTCATCAAACTCACCTGTGAGGTAAAGCAATGTCGACATCTGAACTTTTGGTGGGCTCCTGCGCAAATCTTGACCTGACCATGGCGTTCCGAAGGACATGAAATGGCTTGTCAAGACCTTATGCTCCTTTCGAGAATAAGGGACCCTAAGTGTCAATTCTATCAGGCGAACATGCCCTGTCTTTGGTCTGGAAGAATCCACACATTTTCGGAAGCAGGACATCGGCCCGCCTTCCTCCTCGGCTGTGGCATCCTGTCAAGGGGCGAGCACGTTCAGCTTGAGAACTTGATCGTGGCACCAAGCATAATTATGAGAGCGAAATTGAACTTTTTGTTGACAGCAAACTCGCACTAACGCGCAAAAGCCATGCCACAAACGCCTTTTTCGCTACACCAGGAGCCACGATGCTGCAGAGCGGTCGCACTCCTACGGTGAACTACCGGCACACAAACAGCGGACAAGCATTCAGATCAAACCATCCGCACAACTTTCACACTGCTACCAATCTCTTTTTGATCTGAACACCTCCGTTTTGCGGCCTCTTCTTTAAACACTACACCGCACCCGAGTTGCTCCCGTATCTCCTTAGATCTGCCGCCCTTGGTTAAACCATCGGCGATCTGGTGCCTAGTAGGGACCCAGAGCAACTGTGCTTTACAGGGCGCTCCTCTGGTGGAAAGCATTTGGCGAAGAAGCACGGCATGAATAACACTCGCTTTGTCAGAAATGTGCTGACCGTCCTTGTGGACCGTATCATAGATAGACTTACAATCAGTAACAACCGTCATAGGAACCAAGTCATTCCATCCATCATCCTCAACACTTCCTATGACCTGTGATCCAAACTTCATTTCACTCATCAGCACTTGACAGAAGTGACCCATGCCGAGCGCCATCAAAGCGGCATGAGTTTCTCCGGCGAAGCTCGACTCTATGACACGTTTGTTAGTGCTACTCCTCCAATCAATAACATTGATATGGTTCGCACACCCCCTCACGTCAGTAGAACCTCGCTCGACAAAACCGACAACGGCTCCTTTCTGGGAATAGACAAGACGCTTGTCCTTGGGAGACATGAGAATGTCTTCGCACTCTTTCTCGCTTATCTCCACTCCAACACTTGAGTAAAGACCGGCATCGGTGTACACGATCAACTGAGCGTCTCTTCCCAAATTTCGGAACTTCAGCTGAAGACGGTTGGCCTTGACATCACGAACAGCTTTGTTCGCACGAAGCAGATCAAACACCCTAAGGTCACTGATCCGTTTCTGCAGTTGGTTGGTTTCGAAGCTGACGTCAGGCCTGGATTGGGTAGCGAGCCATTGAAGGCTCCCAACGATGGATCGGAAGTTGGCCCTTTCCTCTTCACTAGCGAAAGCATCAGGACAGCTTCGTCTCACACTAGTGACTTCCATCTCATCAAGCCGACCATCGATGAATCCATCTTGCGACAAACTGATGTACTGTTCTCCGCCTTCTTCCATGACACGAATCTCTTTGCCGCAATACGTAACACTCTCCTTCTCAGCAACTCGCTCCCAAGTTCCAAAGGGAAACCTCTTCTTCAAAGCCTCAATGACACCTTGCGCCTGAACTGACCCGTCATGACAAACCATGAGGTCGTCCACATGAACAACCATGCACCCTATCATGCGGTTTCGCTCATCTCTCAGCATGAAGACGGCGGGGTCAATACATGATTTGACGAACCCAAGTTCACTCGTGAGAACCCGGGCCAATTCTTCATACCAGGCCCGTGGAGCATCAGGACGTCCGTACACTGGCTTCAGAAGTTTCAGCAGCTGGTTCTCCTTGACTCCCTTCAACCCCTGTTTGGGTGGCTTCATGTACATAGGTTCCTTGCCTTCCAAAGAGGAGCCTTGGAGAAACGCATTACTAATATCTCCTATAAACCAATGTTTGGTCCATTGATAGCTCACGGCCATGTGAAGAAACAGCATCGTCGAAACCCGCTCTACTGTCGGAGAGTCAACTTGAATCGCACCCGTCCTAGAATCAGGGCACAAATGTCCCTGAAGGCACAACCTGGCCTTGGCCCTTGTAGGAAGCGCGCAACCGTTCTCGTCTAACAGCCCGGCATTCTTATTCCGATACACAAATCTACTTGGGAGGACGCGGTTAGGATTCTCTCTCATCACTCTCTCACTCTCCTCTTCACTCAAGACCTCACAACTCTCATACTGCTGCCAGCTACACCACTCTTTCTCTTCAGCCTCTCTGTAGAGCTGTCTCTCGCTAGGATCAATCTTATCGTAGGGAATCTCTTTCTCCATCATCTTCTTAAGCTTGTTCTTCCCCACAACCCCTCCATGTTGGACCGTACACACCTGATCCACTTGCCGATCACCTTTTCTTCGCTTCAACACAGGGGGCATATCATCGAGACACATCTCCTTCCTTGTCCTTCCTTGAAAACACGTCACGAGGATCTCCATAGGGGCATTAGGAAGATACTGATGAGGATTGTCAAGTTCCATCCACTTAACCTCCTTTTCCAAGCACATCCACTCCCCATCAAGCCTAGCCCAAGTGGTCCGATATGGCACACGATGCGGATCATACCTGCTTTCCGGGGTCCGATATGCCCAGGCTTGATACGTGACTAAGACATGATTCCCGAATTCATCCACCTGCCACCCAGGACGGGTAACCAACTTGCCGAGATGACCAGGGATCTGAGTCAGCCCCTCCTCAAAATCACCAACATCCCGCACAACCTCTTGGGCAAACGGTTGCTGCTCCACCTCCATGGGTTCCTCGGTGGGATCCTGTTGTCCAGTCAAATCCTCAAACGTGGCATCCTTTGGGACCTTCCTGAAGAGGGCAACAGACTTCTGGATTTGGGGATCACCATATTTCCTCTCATCACCCCACGCCTCTCTCAAATGTTCCCCAGCCACCAGAAAACATCGCCCGCCAATGGCCACCCAGGCATTGTGTCCTTGCAAGCCCACCACATAAGCAGGTCCTATCCATCTGCTCGGTTCTTTCTTCCTCTCAGCTCTCCAGAAAAACACAAGTTGACCAATCTTAGGACTGCTAATCTTTCTCACTCTGTTATGAGCAGTACGAGCAAGCATCTGCCTAGCCTGGGCCTTGACATACTCCAACTTGGCATGGTACCTGTACCTCATGCGCCTAGCCAGCTCACTCTCCGGATCACCAACCCGTGGGTGAAAGGAACTTGGCTCACCCTGACTGTGCAACTCACCGTACACCCTAGGTTCCTTACCAAACACCAGCGCCACAGGAGACCATCCATGCTCTCTAACCAGAGTGTTCTTAGCCCAACAAGTTTCTCTACCGATGAGCTTCAACTCTTCTCTCCCCTTGGCGCTAGTCTGTCTGATAACAGTACGCAACATGTCTTTGATGGTGAGATTGTGCCTTTCAACCTTACCGGCCTGCCAATGAGCGGTGCCAGCTATGGACACAAGCGACGTGCCCGCTTCACTCACGCCACTCCAAAACTCCCGACCTCTGAAACCGCCCTCAAAATCGACAGTCACTCGAAGAGGTGGTCCGGCCCATCGGGCCCATGCACGATCGAAAGCTTTGTTCAGTTCAGATGGACTGTGATCTCTAAGCAGTTCAATAATGTGATAACTCGTAGCACGATCAATAATGGAGAGATACCAGTGGGCCTCGGGTGTGGAGTCATGAATGCAAAAACAGTCCAAGTGAACCTCATCTCCAAAAGTAATCGCACAAGGAGGTATGCTAGTAGTTCGATGGGCTTTTGGCTTGCTTGAATGAGCGCATGCAACACAACGCATCCAACTGACCGCTTCCACAACTTCCTGTTTGGCACCGCCTAACTTAAGGAATCTTTGCAAGTCCTGGCATGACGGATGTCCTAAATTACAATGCGCCTTCTTTAAGCCTTCCCGAACTTCAGCAGAGAGCCTCCTGCCCGGCGGGATGTCGAAGCTTATCCCGTCGTGCGCGAGCCCAGTTCGCAGACCAGCCCCATCTTCATCCATTGGGGAGTCCTCTATGAGCTCTTCGTCTCCATCTGTGTCCTCCAGGGACTCAATCATGGGCTGATCTGTTGTCGGGTTCTCCCCACCGGAAGACCCAACTGCAAACACGGAACTCCAACGAGACAAAGCTTTACTAATGTTTTTCTCGTTCCATCTGAGATCTTTGACCAGTTCTCTTTTCCCGTTGCTTCGTATTCGAGCAGCTATATGTCGGACCAATCGTCTTATCCTACTGGGGTCTTTGCGTCTAAGGGTCTTCACATAACCTCGACACACAGCAGCTGCAATGCTACGACTGCTCCCAGTCTTCACTCCGGATTCGGAGAGGCATCCGGACGGTGAACACCTTAGTGCCAGTTCCTGACATATCTCTGCAGAGCTACTCATCCAGAGTGCCGCCTTCGCTCGAAACGTCCGATCTTTGCGTCTTTCAACATCTTTCTCACATGTTCGACTTACGACAGAGTACACTTCGGGGTGATTAAGGATGTTTTGAATCGGACCCTTTCGAAACGAAGCACTAGCAACAGGATTTTCGGCAAGGACATCATCCCCTCGTCTGATCTGTCTCTCGAACACATGCTCCATGAACTCAAGAAACCACATGTACTGCTCCTGCGCCTTGCGACGTCTACGACTTTGTTGAGAGTTCTCTTGAGGACACTGATTGAAAGACGACCAGAACTTTTGGGGACAACTCAAAATGACCAAACGCGGTTGACAACGATCGATCCACTCAAGAAGATCGCGCCTGCCATCGGCATCGTACACATCATCACCTAACCTAAGATCCACAGGGTCAGCAGCACTCCATCCCCATCTACTGAAACACCTAGTCACTCTAGCTTCTTCATCAAACACTTCCAAAACATCAGGTCGAATGACCGATGATCGGGGAACAGACTGCATAGCCATTCCGATGGCTGCAGCGGATGCAATCATCACACTGGCAGCAAGCGCTTTAGCGTTTCCCAGGAGTCTCTTGAGGGTCCCCTGTTTCAGCCTCTTCCTGCGAAGATTACCGTCACTAATCCTCTGCCTAACTTCCGAGGGACTCCTGGGCAATCGCTCAGCATTACAAGTCTCGTTACAAATCTCATCATCGTGACTTTCTGTGGACTTATTCAGGCTCGATTCACCTGCCGTGGCGCCCGTCTCGGAGGGTTCACTCAGTCGTCCGCGCTTCCCTTGGCCTTCCGGAGCTCCATCACCATCTCGAGCTCCTCGCGCGTAATGTTCGTGTTGTAGATCTTCTTGGGATCCTCGTCCTCCTGGCTCTCCTCCACTGGCTGTGGTCCTGTTCGAATCCAGGAACCATCGCGTGAATCCCCTTTTGACTCGGGCAACGAAGGTGCTGGCCGGCTCATCTTGGGCATCGTCGTGGTCCAGCCATGCATTCTCTCCCGCTCCTTGGTGGTCTTCTCGTTCTTCTGGAGCTCGTCGATCACGGACTTGGTCGGCTTGCCGTTGTACGTGAGAGGAAGGGTTTCTCTGCAAGCCGGGAAGCGAACGCACCCCAGGAAGTCGGTCTTGGTGACTCGATTCGTTCGAACGCACATTGGTATGCGACACTGACTGCACAGTGGCGTCTCGCTGAACATATCCTCGGGTTCGGCAGTCTCCATCACTTGCGCCAGCCACAACTCGATCTCGGTCACCAATGTGGGACGATTCCATCGAATCCAGTGCCGATCGTTCGGGCGATCCAGGTCTGGACGAACGTGCTCCTCGTAGATCTGCTTCAAGGCAGCCACGTCTTGCTTCTTCCAACCCGTCGGCAACGGAGACTGAGCCTTCTTGGGTCTGACGAGCGACCAAATCTGCTTCAGCCGCTCCACGTCGTGCTTCTTGAGCTCGCTGGCATCCAAACCCGTCCTTGCCCGGATGGCCTCCACGTACTCGTCCTTCCTCTTCGGAGCAGTGAACTTGGCGGCCATCTTGATAATGAACGTGCGAGCGATCTTCACGAAGATGATTGCTACTCTCTGACTGAGCCGTAGGGCTATCTTTATGATCATGCGGAGTTGGCTTGATTGGACTACTTTCCTCACCCTGTTCATGCTGTGGCTCCTGGTTGTAGGGTGAGCTGTTACACACATGCGCAACATTCCCAGAGGTCCTGGTGTCGGGGACACGCTTCACTGGAAATCCCAGCGAACGCAGCATGAGCTTGTCATCATCGTTGAGCTGGTCTGCGGCACGCGACGTATAGCAGGACAAACACCATCGTGTGCCTGTCCATCGCTGTGTAGCATGCTGCACCTTCGGGCTAAGCAAATATGGACGCTGCCATGTATCCACATTGCAACCCGGGATTCTCTTGCCGTTCTTGTCCTTCTTGAAGACAACCTCGTCACTGTTGTCTGAGTCTGGCGGCTTGGCGACCCAGAGTTGGCCTTCCTTAAAGGTGCCAAACGACACCGTCGCTGTTTCTGACTCAGTGGCATTGTGGTTGTCCTTGTGAAGGGTCATGCGGATATTTTTCATAACAACCAAGGACGTCCACCTTGCATGCTGTCCGGAGGCCTTCAACGCATTCCGCATGAATGTGTTGAGAAAGCGGATCACGTGTGGGAACCGCTGCGCTGACTTCGCGATCCCGTGGAAAGCACCATGCGCGTACGCACCTGCCATCAAGCCCTGACACCGACGGGGCTTGCCATTTATGGCACGCTGTCTGCCACCGCCAAACTCAGGCAGATTCTCGACAACCTGCTGCAACGCCTCATACGAGAAATTCTCATCTTTGAGAAACTTTCTCGCAAGCTCTTCACAGTCATCATCGGAATCCTTCTGGACGACATGAACTCCCAGAGCATGTTGCACAACCTCCACCTCTGCTTCGCCCTCGAGCATGTTTAGGGGAGGAAAACCTGTTGTGGTGACCTGCTGCTCGACGATGTCGTTGATAACAAAACCGCACAGGCCTGCATCAGTCTCAATCAACGGAACATCTGTTTGAAGAGCAGTAAACTTCACCTTGGCAGCCCCAAGGTCCAGGCAAGTTCCGATAGCCTTCATTGCCCCCTTACTGAGCAACAACGGGACATCCTGGTTGACCACGCTGACTCTGATCCACGGGATCCCACATGCACCCTTCAGAATCATCGGAAACACCACGCTGTACTCCGATGAAATCCTCGGGCCCGCACCGAAACGGAAAGGCCTGGCCTCGTCCACTATGTACGCATCCAGCCCGGCCTGGTGAAGGTGCTTCATGTGAGTTTGAGCCCACTTCTGTCCCATAACGGACCTTGCACAACAGGTGTCCGAAAGTGCAAGCAGACCTTCATCGGCGCATACGTCCGGGCAGGACATAGCGCTGGCGCACCAGTATTCTCCTTGCTCTGGCACGGCCTGCGTCATGAATATATCCGTCGGGAGAGGCCCATAGTCATCTGAATCCGTCGCGTCGCCCTCCATGACAGCCAGCACACTGTCTCCGCCGGGCTTCGGGACTTTCTTTCCAAAGGGGCATTCCGGGTCCGAGTGCCAGTGTCCATATACTGTACGGCCATGCGCTTTGCAGGCGCTGCAAGGCATCTTCTTCTTCAGCTCTGCAATCCTTTTTGTTCTAGCCTCGGGAGTTTCACTTCTCCCCTTTCCTCCACCGCCACTGGAAAAACCTCGGGCACGTTCCACTTGTGCTCTTTTCTTAGCAGCTTGCGTCAGCAAACACTGAAGCTCTTCCTCCAAGGCCTCTGCTTGCATCTCCTCGCCGCCATCGTCAGCAACCTCATGAAGTTCCTCGGTCTCCTCGTCCTGGATTGTTGCATGTACCTTCGCAGGCCCTTTTCTCCAGTGACGTCCAGAGTGGTTGGAGTGGGACGTGCCTTCGGGATCCTTCTCGACTTGTGGCACTATGGCCATCACTGCGGCACGCAACTTGGCATAGTCATACTGGCCCCCCGCCGCGGCGACAACCTGTTTTCTTAATTCTGGAGAGAGCCCTGCCTTCTCCAAGAACCAATAGGCCTTTGTCACCCCGGACAGTCCAGCATTGATCTCCTCCAAACGCTGGCCATGTCGCCTAAACTCCATGTCATAGGCGACGAACTCCTGGGTTTTCTGGCGTCGAAACCCTTTATAGAAGTCTGCAAGCGTCTGGAATGTGCGAAGGAACTCTAGCGGCTCAAGCTCCTTCCACAGGTGGTCCAGCAGTCGGGACACTCCATCTGGATGCTTGAGCGACTCCAATGGAATCGACTCAGTTGCTAACCAGGCGCTGCCCGTAAGCTTTTCCATGAGCTTTTGGGCCCGGTAGCTCGCATCTATACTGGTGGATATCTCAAACAGCTTGACCCGCCGCTGGTATTCTCTCATTGGCGTGGTGCCGTCGAACTCGGGGATGAAATCTTTTCCAGTGGCTTTGGCCGAAGGTGTCTTTCCCGACGACCCCTCGTCGAGAGAGCCTGTACCCTCGCCCAGCCACTGATCATCTTCCATCGTAGAGACAGACTGTCTCCTGGCTGTAGTAGCTTCTTCAGCTGCTTCAGCTGGCACCTCGCCATCGTTGCTTGAAGATTGCTGCTGCCCAGTCTTCTGCCTAGCAGCCGAATCTTCTCCCCATTGCTTATCTTGCCACAGATAATCTGACCAGCCAGGTCGCTGCTGCCACCCTCCATAGCCATAGGAGGAAAAACTGGGTCCTACATAGGGCCCCCATGATTGGCCTCGCTGCCACCAGCCGTTCCCGGCCCCATCCCAGCTGCTCCACCAGCCAGAATGCATTGCTGCACTACTGCTCTGCCAAGGATCTCCATCTGTCGGATCCTGCCCAGCTTGTGTCCCCGCTGTGGCGTCTGGCTCAGACGCCATGGAGCCCCTGCTCCGCTGCCAATGTTGACAGCAAACTCGCACTAACGCGCAAAAGCCATGCCACAAACGCCTTTTTCGCTACACCAGGAGCCACGATGCTGCAGAGCGGTCGCACTCCTACGGTGAACTACCGGCACACAAACAGCGGACAAGCATTCAGATCAAACCATCCGCACAACTTTCACACTTTTGCAGTCGTGGTAAAACAGACTTGGCACTATCGTTTTCAATATCACATGAGGAGCACAAAATAGTGAAACCAGGAAGGCTTCGGTGCGAACCTGTTCAACCTAGCATGCGAGGTCATGTGGCTGACTGGGATGTCCCGGGTCGCAGCATCCGAGGGACGATGGCGCCTGGTACTGTTGGTACTCCGACACCAGGTCGTTCATGTTCGACTCTGCCTCGGTGAATTCCATCTCATCCATGCCTGCACAGGGCATGGCATGTTCTCAACCTGGACCCTTGTCAGGTCGTTCTGCCTATCGCTGCTGCTGCGACAGGCCATCAACCTCTCCAAATGCCAGAGGGCCCCTGGGCCCTAGGCTTCAACCGTCGTCAGCCTAAGTTCGGGGAACCCTCGAGTTTGGGCCAGGCTTAGCTCGGCCCTACTTAGTTTTGTCGGAGAAATAAGCTCTTCGTGACGAAGGAGCTGGTGGCTGACTAGCCAGTCTATGTGCGGGCCTTGTCACGAGTTTTGGATGATGATGATGATGATGATGGAAATTAGTACTATGGTGCTACGTGGCGAAGTGATGAAAAGAAATCTGAAGCTGAGAGTCAGGCTCCTGGTGATGATGAATACAACAATGCTGCTGATGCTAGTGTACTGCTGATTGTGCCGCAGGTCAGCAAAAGTGTCATTTCTACTGCCGATCATTTGTCGACGTTGCCAGTCGACTTACGTGGTTCTGATTGGTATGACTGATAACGACTCCGACTTCCAGCAGTTGCCATTGCTATGAGGCGCCTGCCCTCAGACCCGCCTTCACCCGTGTACCAGTGAAGGAAGGCTTTGCGGCGGAACATCGCAGTGAAGTACTCTGCCACCCTCAGACGTCTGGTAATTCAGGAATCCGAGCCCCAGCTTTTGGGTCGGTTCAACAGGTCTGGATGCAGACGGTCTCATGACGCAATAGAACTTCAACATGGGTGCGTTCCCAGCCCTCCTACCCCCTCCTGCGGCCGGAAAGGCCCCTTCAACAGCCTCCCGACAGCCCAAATCCTCAAACCTTAAGCCCCTGAATCACCATCTGCATTGGCCAGCCCTGTAAGCAGGAGAACCACGAACCCTCGCCAACGAAAGGCCCAGTTCTGAGTAAGCAAATGCCGACCTGCCTACAATGCTGTGAACCCCTCTCGCGCAGGCTCCTTTGAACCAGGGCACCTCTTGAACATCTCCTGGATGGCCGTCGAGTTGCCGGCGAAGGCGACCGCCATCTTAAGACCTGCGGAGCAGACACAAGACGGATGTCGTGAAATCCTGCATGATTGAACTCAGAACTTTTCCCATCTATCCTGCGGCCTTTCGGTGGGATATCGCAGACAGACGCCTTGATGTTGTTTGGGATCCACTCCTTGGCATTGCTGTTCTGACATTGGCCTGAAGATTTCATTAGCTAACTTGATCACTTCTTAGTGGCAGTTGGTGACTGCTGCTTATCAATATCGCCCATTTGTCAATGCCTCTCCGCACCGTTGAGCACCAATGGATCCAACTGTCCAAGTGGTTTTGGCGATACATATGACACGACAATAAATTGACGACCACCACAACCAACGCCGCGACCACAACAACAGCAGCAACTGCTTCTACTACCATCACCACCACCACTGCGACGACAAGGACTCACAGCAGCACCATGACCACCACGGCTATACCCACCACTGGCCCACCACCTCTGCCGCACGACTGCAAAGCTGCAGTGCGGCTGCTTCTTCTTCTACTGCAGCTGCTGCTGCTGCTGCCACTACCACTACTGCCACTACTACTACTACTACTACTACTACTACTACTTATACTTACTACTGCCTTTACGACAATCTGACTGTGACGAGACACGCATTGCTTCCTCAAAGTATTGGGACCATGGGGTACTTCCGTGGTAATAATACAAGGACTGCTACTGATACTTTGATCTTGTTAGCAACTCTGAAACCAAAGTCCAAGTCTCCACGAAGTAGGAGGAGTTCTTGTTCTGCACATTCAACATCTGTTCGTCCACCTGCAGGTATGTTTGTAGGGCAAGATGACGCTGTCTTCACCCCAGCAGTACTCAAGATACGCACACAAACTCTGTTCCTGTATGCGTGAAATGTGGCAAAAGGACAAGTCTCCTGCACTGAACACCACAAGCCCTAGCCATACATTTCGACGACATCTGCCTTTATGCACAGTCAACAGAGTAGTGGAGTAGTCGATGGCAGCGAGATTGAGGTTTGGGGGTTGATTGGGGGGTAGGGGCAGGGAGAACTCACTTTGAGCAGTTTTGCAGTCTTCTCGAACGAAGAAGCTACAAGTTAGAGGAAGTAACAGAGAGTACAAGAGAGCTTCCTTCGGCGCCTACTAACCAGGAGATCCGTCCGAACAGTGCTCAAAACAACATCTGAAGCGTCAAGATCCTGCAGGCGAAACTGGATGAAGAGCTTCCGGGGTGTGTGTAAGATTAAATGGGATACGAAAAGCCCGGGGTGACTCCTGAACCTCCAAGCCTGACTGACCTCCAAGCCTGATGATCGATGCCTCCTTCGTGGACATACGACCGCGGAAGAGTGCTGCGGCAGTGAGATATCGCCCGTGGCGGGGGTCGGCAGCACACATCCTGGGATGGGGTGCCAGCCACCATCACAACAGCTGCATCTACCGTCAACCTTCGTCCTCGCCATGGTACATGGAATCGCAACGATGCAGAAACAGTAAACACACGTGCAGTCGGCACAGGGGATGCACAGGTTCTCCTATCTTAGCTCCAATCGGCAGCCTTGCTCGTCAGGGGGCATGTTCTTGGCGTCGAACATCTGTTGGGTCAACTCAGGGACCTGGCTTCTCAGGTGAAGATTTTGTTGCTGCAGCCACGCTATCGGAGCCAGCAAAACAAATCTAAGCTTTGATCCAGGGGCGGTCAGGGCCCGGTACTGCTGCGACCCACGGGAAGTCAAAGGCGCGAAGCCAGTCATGAAGAAGTGCAAGCCTCGCCGAGCGCTGCGGATCGATTCATCGAAGGCTCGCGAAGGCTTTCAACACGTGCTTGCTCGCTTGAAGGCTCCACAAACGGTTGTCTGCAGTCCATGCCGCGTGGGAAGGGTACCAGGTTCACAGCGATCTTGCGCAGGTCGCAGTTCAGCCTGGAAATCCCCTGAAAGCCAAAAATCCAACGCGACGTTCTAGCTTCACCACAAGTAGGCATCTCATCTGAAAAACAACCAAACACCTCAGGAAGCATACTTATTACATCTAGCCACTGTCCCGGGAAGCGCAGGCAGCATGTGACGCCGCTCATGGCCGCCGAGACCAGATGGTTCAAGTCGCCGTACGTTGGCGTCGTCAGCTTCCTCAGCAAAACGATCATTGCATGGAGGCATAGAGTCAGTCCCACCGTTCGTTCTACAAGTGCCATGTCACCGTCGCATGCAGGGCTGCACTGCGAGGAGACCAAGGAAGACTACACAAAAGGAAGGCCTTGATGGCCTTGACCCGAATCTCGCAGTCTTATCGTCTTGCGACATCGTAGTAGGCAACTACAGTTAGATCCGGGGTGCAGCGTCCGGAAGCAGATGTCGTAGAGCGCTTCGTTGTCCTCATATGGTGACGTGCTTGAGGGCTTACAGGTTTCAAGAGTCAGCAGTTCTTAACTCCATGAGCTGTCTTAGTCTTCGTCGGCAGGTGGCCAGCAGGAAGGACTCGTCGGAGTTCTCTACGAGCTGGTGAAAGCTCAGGACGGCATTGTACGGCTCCACAACCGTGTCGGAGACCTTGGGCGACGGGATCACCGAGAAGGTCTCCATGATGCGGTCGGGGTACCTTGGGAGAGACGTCTTTTGATCGGGGCGTGCTTCATAGACTCAGGCCACTTTCAACTTGGGTTTTGCAACTATAGTCATTTCAGTGACGGTTCTGCTGAGGCACGACTGGACCCCAAAGTAACACTGAATTAGTATCCCCAGGAGCTGGAGCGTTACCTCAAACCTTCAAACTTGCAGAAAAAGAGATCCTTCTGACGGGGGCCATATTTGAAAGCTGGTGTCCGAGGCCCGTAGAGACAGGAGGAGAGCTTCCTTCTGAGCGCTTTGGTGGTCCTGTGTCGTCTGCGAAATGCAGCTCAGCTGCTCCTCACGCACCTCAAGGGTGTGATGTGCACGAGGTGTGTGTGAGTGTGTGTGTGTGTGTGTGCATGTGTATGTGGGTGTGTGTGTGGCTTGGTGGCTGCTTCCTACGACTTCGGAACCTGGAATAACTTGCTCAGAATAGACCACAAGCTCGAAAACGTGACTGGCAATTTACAGCTTGAGGCTGGAGGATGTGGGCTACGGATTTGATAAAATTAAAGTTGAGATGTACAGCACTTTCTGAAGCTCCCACCTTGGAGATGAGCAGAGTGCCCATGCCAGCGCCGGTGCCTCCACCGAGCGAGTGGCAGAGCTGAAAGCCCTGGAGGCAGTCGCAGCCTGCATGAAAGCGCTTAGCAAAAGCACAGCATCCAATTTGGCAGCTAACTTTGGCATTGAGAATACCGTGAGGGGTATGGCTTGGAGGTCATGTCAACACTATGTAGATTCGTCTTCATGGTTTGTGCCCAGAATGGATGAACTAGCAACGGCTCCGGTATTCCAGAACTTCTACGGCCGTGTCATCCAGGAAGGTTCGAGGCGGCCAAACTCAAAGGCCCCAAGCCTCATTCCGACCCAGGCCAATGTAGGATGGCGTGAAGGTGATTGAGGTTCAGTTGCCGATGACAGACATAGCTCAAGTGCGGACCATTGAGAGATGAACGAAGTATGCCGATCTCAACACGTAGAGCCTTCACAACAACCACCGTGGGTCGCACCTGCCTTGCTGCGTAGGCCGGCGTTAAAAACTGCATTTGCTAAACATGAAGGCTGAAGGATATGCCTTTGAAAGCCAAGCCGTGGCCTTCGGCCTCCTTGCGCACAACATCGAGCACCGAGTCGATGAGTTCTGCACCCTCAGCTTCACTTCGCAGGATTGAGGACTTCTTCTGTGAACTTTGTGCCTTCCACTTCGAGAGTCTGGATTTCGGACCAATCCCACGATAAGAAACAACAATAAGCAACGGCACATGCCAAGAAAGTGCAAGCCAAGCTGAGCTTGGGGCTTCGGTGTAGTGACCTTTGTCCGGAATGCGCGCATGCAGTGTTGAAAGAAACATGAATACGAGGCAAGCGCTGTGTGTAAAGATGTGGACACATACCTATCAAATATACACGCGCAATGTTTTAATGGCAAAGTCTTACATGTTTATTGCCACTCATTCTGAATAAACTATGCGATATATCGATCCTGCAATCGAGTGCCAGGCCCTTAGCCCAGTTGTTGCCAGCTCCTGGCAATGCAAGGTTCATTGCAGAATGGATTCGCATCATGACAAACGGCTGTTCCTCAAGTCGACATGGTACAGAAACTTGAATTGAAACTAAAGATAACTCGCGCGCTAACTGCGTAACTTTCATGGCGACGTTGTCAAGCCGACCCAGTCCTGTCTGTCCGAAGACGAAGTTGTCAGGACGGAAGAGCTGACCAAAAGGCCCGGCTCGGACGGAGTCCATGGTTCCTCGCGATCTTGGCAACCGGACATTCGTTTACAAACCCGCCGGACACTTAGGATGCTGCGACAGGTACTGCAGTACTACGATCTCTACGATTTTCAATCAGAAAGCTTCCGGCTGCCGAGATCCTGGATCTTCATTCGGCATTTAAGAGCTCCCGTAAATTCCCAGGAATCAACTGTGGGTAGCATCGCTGTTTCTGCTGCAATACATTCAGTGGTAGTAGCGTTCTTGTAATTTTTGAATTGAATCTTTCCCGAGATGGTGCCTGATTCTTCCAATAGATTGCCTGTAAAACTCAAGTCGGAAGGTTTTGTACCACTTCCCACCGCCTGGCTCAAGGTCCATCAGGACCGCGCGGGGAACGTAGCGTCCGCCAGTTGCCTCGTTGAAGTAGACCTGTGTGTGAGTGGACTGCACGCAACCTAGCTCCGTAGAGGGTTAGCGGCAGGAGCGGCTGGAGCAGAAGCTCGGGAAAAGCGGGGAAGATGCAAGGGTTAGGGTTTAGGGAGCACTAACCTAGATGTCTTCGGCAACAAGCCGGCCAAGTTTGGCAAGTGCGATCCCAAGCGTACAGGCAGCGATTTGCCGTTGCAGTTGCACGCGGACGTTATGAGAGTCGCCGGCATCATACGTGACCCACCCGGACCTACTAAGAACCCGAGGCTGCGCCTGCCACCATGGGGCAGGAATATGGAAACGCGCGCTGAGTTGGTCCCGCAACGGAGCCAACTCAGGGCACTCGGCGAATCGATGTCGAGCAGACCCGCGAGGACCCCCGCATGTGCTGGACATTCGGCAATTGTGATCCCAAGCGTGCAGGCAGCAATTTGCCGTTGCACGCGGACGTTACAAGTATGAGAGTCGCCGGCATCGGACGGGACCCACCCGGACTTACTACGCTGAAGTAGGCCTTTCCCAGTGCGGCGGGGTGTTCAGAGCTTCGGAAATGCTTGGGAAACCCATGTCCTCCACTATATTCCACTATCCTCTTCAGGGTTTTTAACTAAAAAAATCCTGGGGATCCCCGAGCCCTAAGGCGTCCTTAGCCGAAACGCTGCAAAGGTGCGTTGATGCGCTCGAGCTGGAGGTCGGAGTCTCCATGGTAGGTACCTTCAGCTCTTGGGCGGGTGAAAAGGGGGGTGCCGGGAGTTTCCTGGCATAGCAACCAATGTCGGGACGAATAACATGGAATAGCAATGTAGTAGCAGGATGACAGGGAATATTCATACTGCCTCATTGCAAAGCACCTGAATAGAAGATTGCTGGAGATACTTCTTGCACGGGCGTGCTGCGAAGCCTGTATGGAACCAGCACCATCGTGATACCAGGTGGGTCGAGACTAGACTGGGCTCGTACTGCTTAAACAGGGCACTTTTTGAGCCCGTCAGTAAATCTCGGTTCCATAGTCTACATGAGGTCCGAATGGGCCTAAGTTGCGGCCGAAGCATTTCACTAGGGCCGTGGACGCCGCCTCGGGTCTGTTTCAGGGCAAGCGAGTGCTGTACCGCTTCCTGCTTCTGGCCCTACGCAGCACGCACTCACTAAGCCCGAACCCGACTTTTAAAGTCCTCGAACTCGAAATCCCAAGCCTTGACCCCATCAACCCGGAACCCTGCGCTTCTCTTTGGGGCACCTGTGGGGTCAATGCCATGCTCATCGGCAATTACCTGTCCAATCTTCCGACGAAAGGCTTCAGGCTTCATATTCCATGTCAGACCTATCCCTGCATCCTATGAACATGCCGAACCAGATTGTTCCTGCAAGAAACGCCTGTAATCATCTCCTATGCCATACCTCAGGACCGTCTCTTAATTAGTTGTGTTCGATTGTCCTCGGTGGCCCAGGCTGGGAAGAGAAGTAGTCGAATGTTCGAGAGGTTTCAAGATGGTTGTGCCGACGTGTCGTTTCGCGGTCGCGAGAAGGCGTCTGGGGCAGATCTCAGAATTCCGGAGATCACCCTGCTGTAAATCTTTGTGCGTGTGTGTGTGTGCGTGCGTGTTGAGCTGTGGAACCCTCAACTGACCCCCATTGGCACGAAAGCAAGTCTCGAATCTTTCGGGGCTTCTCGTTCTGTTCTCCTGGCTAGGCGTCCACCGTGGACATGCTTGAGATGCGAAATTGCCCCGCATGTCGAACATTTGCAAAGTAGACCTGCAGTTCTATTTTCAGCGACTGTTAACACTTTTACATCGCGGCGTTGATCCCACCCTGCAGAACGACAGCTTGATGTCTGTGACTCTGTGACAACATCACAGACAGCCTTGGGAAGGATATTAGGCAAAGTGACGCTTCTTCGGCTTCAGCTACTAAGCTACAGGCGAACAAAGCGATTGAAGCCGAGGCCTCCCAGAACTTGGCACCGATCTGGTTGCCGCCTCCAGCTTTCAGGGCCATCGGACTTATAATAATCTCACCATGTATAATAATATAACAATATAATATAATGTGCTGTTGGGGGCTCAGGCTTTAGATCCGGGGGCTAGGTTCGAGTGCGAACCGGCGCGGCAACAATCGCAAGATGCGACTTCCACGTTGATCCCGTGCCGAGGTGCACTGGCCACCCTGGACGTGGACGAGCTCGCGCATGGCTACGAGAAACGCAAGGCGATGGAAGGCGTGAAGGCTTGAGACTTTGCAGAGGCGCTGCAGATCGCTGCAGTCGTGATGAGGTCGGTCCCTTCCTCCATATCCTACTGTAGTCGCCTTTGCTACATGCTGTTCACAACACTAGCCTCCCCAAAGACGTCTCCGCAACCTGGAACACGCTTCAACACTTGTGCCTGTCAAAACCAACATGTCTGCCGATCCGTTTTACTCGCGCATGCCGCCAACTGCGAAAGTTGGTACAAGTTCAAGCACGAGCTGCCCTCAAGATTTTCTTGAAAGCTTGCAAGGGATGAATTCCCCCGACTGCGTCCCCGTCTAGCATGCGGGCGCGGTCAAGGTCATCACAGGTCTGAACAGGTTTGTGAACGAGCATGGGGTCTGCAACACTTCGGAATCGCAGTTATCCGTCGTACTCGCCTTCCTCCTCATCAAACTCACCTGCAGGCTGTGGCGTGGAGAATCCTCTCCGATCCAAACGCTGCAAAAGACAAGGACCCCAATGAATCCCTTGCCTTTCCACGTTACGACCGGTGAACTGGTCCGCGTTCCAATGTAACTTCCAGAGTTCTCCCATGTCACACAAAGCCCCCACAGCACCAAAGGAAAGTACCGGCTTAACGCTGGATCCCTGGTCCCGGGGTGTCGCGCACGCGCGCACGCGCACGCGCACACACACACACACCATGAACAACTTTGCGAGAACCTCCGACCTTGTCAAAATGCGGATAGCCTAAGCAAAAGCAAGCCTGAGATCCTCCTCATCCGCGAACCGTGCGGAGACTACAGAACTGGAACTCACAATCCCCAAGCCGGTTGTCAAAATTCCGAAGTGCTCGTCGGACAGCAGCTACGACCACCGATGCAATACCATCATCCTGACAATCTGCACACCTTCTCCCTACTCGAAACCCTTAACCCTGATCCGAAATCCAAACTCCAGACTCCCACTGGTAGGCCAAGCCTTCCTCCTCAGCCGTGGCATCCTCGGACAATCACCACAGTCTATGCTTTTCGCTGATGAAGATTTCAGCCAACGAGAATGCTAGATATCTAGATATGTACACATATGGTCGCATGTACCATGTAACCAGTCTAAGAGATACTCGTATAACGTGTATACATGCATAATCCTGAGTAGTATTCAGAAACCGCTTCCATTTTTGTCGACCAGTGCCTGTGGGCCTGTGGGCTCCGGCTTCTGTGGGGGGTTTCGAACGTCGCGAGCAGTAAGACTGCGAAGCTAAGCGTGTTAGGCTTAAGCTGTAGGGCTTGGTGGTCAAGGTTTCGGCAATCGTAAGACATGTACTACTGCCACCGTTTATACAGCGAGTCTCATCATCATGAGTATTCAGCGATGATGATGACGATACTTCTGCATTCTATTGACAGTGACGCGCCTGGTACTGCTGGTACTCCGACACCAGGTCATTCATGTTCGACTCCGCTTCGGTGAACTCCATCTCATCCATGCCTGGCTGCGAGGGGGCTTCCAGGAATTAAGCCTCAGGATCTCGAGTAGCAGAAAGACTCAGGGCTATAAGCTTCTGAATGATGCAGCCTGTGCAAGCAACGTCTGGGAGCTTAAGACTTGTGCTTCAAAAGAAGGGGGGACTTTTCTGAACAAAGTTGGCGGGGACTGACATGATCAGAGATCAATCTTTTCATCCAGGCTGAAGTGATTACAAGTACTATTGCTACTGTTACCACTACCACTACCACTACCACCGCCACCACCACTACTACTACTACTACTACTTCTGCTACTACTACTACTACTACTACTCCTGCTGCTACTACTACTACTACTACTACGACGACTACGACTACGACTACCACTGCCACCGCGACTGCGACGGCGACTGCTGCTGCTGCTGCTACAACGACAACTGCGATTACTACTAGCACCACAAGGGTAACTCAGAAACGCAAGCTCAAGCTCACGCCCAGGCCGCCTTCACCGGTGTACCAATGCAAAAACGCTTTGCGGCGGAACATGGCAGTGAAGTACTCGGCCACCCTCAGGGAGCTGGGAAACTGTAGGGCTTCGGGGTTGGTGGGTTTCGGGACGATATCAGAAAACAAGTTCTTCACCTCTCGGTTTGTGGCCAAAACCGACAGCGGCCTTCCTTCGCCTCTCGAATTGTACCAAAAACAGAGGGGTGAAAGGAGCGCGGCCTTCCTCCACCTCTTGGTTTGTAGGCAAAACAGAGGCGTGAAAGGACCGCGGCCTTCTTTCACCCCTCGGTTTGTGGCCAAACAAAATCGAGGGGTGAAAGGAGCGGGTGAGAGGACCGCGGCCTTCCTTCACCTCTCGATTTGTGGCCAAAACAAAGGGGTGAAAGGAGCGCGGCCTTCCTTCACCTCCCGATTCGTGGCCAAAACAGAGGGGTGAAACGAGCGCGGCCTTCCTTCACCACTCGGTTTATGGGCAAAACAGAGGGGTGGTTACGCCCATTTTTCTGATTTTCTCTCTCCTGCTTTCTGATTTTGTTTGTGTTGTTTTCTGATTCTTGTTTTCCGAATCTGTTATGTTTTCTGATTTAGTCTGCTCTGCTTTCTGATTTCGCCCGTTGTTTTCCGATATGCTCTTAACTCGCTTCGGGGTTTGGGGGGGCGTCGGAAATGGCTGGGCGTCTGCGCTGTCGAGTGCAAAGTGATTTCAAGAGGGATGCTTGGTGCCTGGAGACCTCGCGTATCATTGTGGTAAATTCAGCCTGGAAGACTTCCCCCGAGAATAAGCAGGACAGCGCTTCAAGTCTAGAGCTCAGAGAGCTTGCTTTCGAGTGAAAGTGCTTTTTCTCAAATTTGGAGTCGAGCAGGAAGATGGGAATTGTGAGTCTTGCAAGGGGGACCTACCTGAACGGTGTAGTAGTACCTTGTAGGGCTTTGTCGCTGCGACGTTACGAATTTGGCTACCTTGCGAAGCACGACCGAGCTGATGGAATCATTAGCACGATGTTAGATGCGTTGTCGCTTGGCCTTGGGCGTTCGTAATCAACCGAGGAGAGATCCGGCTGCCAAGCCGCAAGGCCCTGAATCCTAAACTACCTCAATTCTGTCCTGACACTGTCTACGGATGCGCGAGGACAAGACACCTCTTGAACATCTCTTGGATGGCGGTCGAATTGCCCGCAAATGCGACGGCCATCTTGAGACCTGCAGCTTCTCACAGACAAGTATGGAACACAAAGGAATGCTGTGGACGTTCGTTGTTCCAAGCACACGGCTTTGTGGATTTTGGGGGCCCCATCGCGTTCCACCCTGCAGAAAGGAAGACTTTGAGGCCTCTGTTGCAAAGCGGCCGGCCCAAGAAGAGCTCTCCAAGACTAACGTCACTAACCCCAAAGCCTCAACCAAACTTTTGGGGCCCCAAGTTGGCTCGTCATGTAACGAGGGCACCGCTTATGGGCTGTTTCTCAAACCCTCGCCGCACTCCAGTGCACAGCAGAGACAACCAAATCCAGAGCACGAGCTGGATTGAAGCTGTTCGAAAGCATGCCCGGTATACGTCTGCAGCATGCGTACTTTACCTATGATATACGTTCATGTCTCCCGGCAAACGCATTCCTGCCACACGTACCCAACTCTTGGCTCGGTTGCTGCTTGGCGACCTTTCGGCGGGATGTCACACACAGAGGCCTTGATGTTGTTTGGAATCCACTCCTTTGCAAGCAGTATGCACTATACTTTGGACAGGATCAGGGCAAACAATTCTCCGAACCGTCCGCAAAACTACATGAGACTCGCGCTTGCTACAACCCCGAACAGAAATCCTACAATGCCTCGATCCCTGTCGACAAACACGCCAACAAATGGACAAGAAACCACAAACGCGAAAATGCAGCCGACACTCAGCACTCTAAGGCTGTATACGGCTGTGCAAAAATCTTTCCGCTGCCTACGGTCCAAGCCATCATGGCAGTTACACGACGAGGACGACGACTATGGCAGGGCTGCGTCAATTGCTGCTTTGCAAATTGTGATGAATGAATGCCTTGGGGAAAGCGCCACGCAACAGATACAGGCGTAGGGAGAGATGCGTGCAGCGCGACGCAGCACAAAAAAGACTGCCTGCCGCCGCCCGGCTCAACGCTCTCGGCTTACAGTCGCATACTCAACAAGTCTCGCATCCTGGGCCCATGAAGCAAGGATAGCCAAGATTCCACGAAGTAGGAGGAGTTCTTGTTTTGGACATTCAACATCTGTTCGTCCACCTGAAGGTACGTTTGGTAGCGCAAGATGACGCTGTCTTCACCACATGCTCTGGTTGCTCTTGCGGCGGAAACGGTGTTGAATGCCCTATCAGTCCCAGAACAGGGCCTCCTTCGTGGACATGCGGCCACGGAAGAGGGCCGCCGCCGTCAAATAGCGACCATGGCGGGGATCCGCAGCGCACATCCTTGCGGCTTGGAGTCATTTGGTGTGGGGCTGTAGGAATTGATTGAGATTGCGGTCAATGTGCAATACAGCATGTGGGGTACGTTGCTCCTGTTCCGACACCCGCGTACCCAACTTTTTTTTGTATTCAATGAACCATTCTCGCAGAATGGCAGATCCAACAAGTGTTTGGGGGTATTGCGGAGGCTCCAAGAGGCTGCAGATGCTTATTTGTACTTCTATGGCTCTAGGACGCTTCAACATTTCACTTGCTTGTGACGGCTTGCTAGACAAGGACATTCGAACAGGCTTGCTTCAGCAGGGGCAAGCCAAGAAGCATGTTCTTGGCGTCGAACATTTGCTGGGTCAGCTCGGGCACCTGGATCGATACAGCAGCTAGTAAAACCCCCACTTGCATCTCGGGTTCGTTTTAACAATGGCCGCAATTAAATTAAGCATGAAGTTAGGAGTGACAGCCAGGATGACTCATAGAGTATCGTTGAACTACAATTTCGTGTAATAGCTTGAATGTCGGGGCACGTTCACAAGTTCACGATACTAGGGTTCTACTTCTACCGACTTCATGAAAACAACCGTCGTAC